TGCTCTTTCATTAACTTTGTAACGAACTGCCACAGTGAAGTAATATTCCACTTGGACACCGTTGAGAGCTCCTCTTCCATGTCTTATGTTACTTGTGTTGAATTAAGAAGGCCAACACTTGTAACAGAGTGAGTACCTGATAAATAAAATTTTGTTATGCTCAAAAGAAAGAAAAATATTGCTTAAAGCTCTATGCAATAACAACTAAAATCTTATGCAAGCTTATATTTATACAGATAAATCTTTGAAAGAAGAACAAAAAAGTAGCAAAAAACTCAGCTATGCTTTTGTTCAAAAAGAAGCTAACAATAATATTATTTGCAAAGTCAGAGGAAGAACAGACAAATAGATATCATCCACAAGGGCAAAGCTCATAGTGATTTTAAAAGCACTGCTTATTTGTCCAAAAAATTGTGAAGCAAATATATTTACAGATAGTGCTACAGCTATTCAAGCAATAAATAAAAGCAAAAAAAGAAAAGTGAGAGAATGGCTAAAAACAACTAACATAACAATTCTCAAAGCAATAAAGCTAATAGTTGAAACCAAAAATACTAGTTTGATTTTGCACAAAATTAAAGTTCATACAGGAATTATTGAAAATGAGATAGCAGATACAGAAGCAAAAAAAGGTACTGAAGAAGAGCAAGTAGTCAGAATACAGCAAATACAGATTAAAAATGCAGTATTCAGTATATTATAGAAAAGAATAGAAATTGAAAAGCTAATTAAAAAGTTCATCAAGAAATTAAATAGTAGTATAGTCAAATCAGAATGAGTATTTGTAAGAGGAGAAAAGGATAGAATATATAGAAATAGAAAAGATAATATGAGTTAGAGTATATTTAGTAGATTAGTAAATAGACTATGAAAGAAATAGAGAAATAGTCTAGAAGAGAATAGCAGATAGATATTTACTATAAAGTGTATAAATTGACTACTTCTTACATTGGAAAAAAGATACCTATTTTATTCTGATCTATATGATAATAGCATTTGCTCAAGATGCAATAGCAAAGAAGAAATATTTGAATATTTATTAACCTGTAATTCAGATAAAGAGAAATAAAAAGAATTAGAGAAGAAAGTCTTAAATAAACTTGAAAAACTATTCTAATTAACAGAAATATCTGAAATACAGAAAAGGAAAATTAGCAAATTACTTTTTTCTACAGAACTCATAAAAATTATCTCTCAAAGACAAAAAACTTCAAGAGGTTTTATATGAGAAGAACTTATTAAAAAATTCCTCTTATTTGGGATTTCAAAAAGAAAAACTAAACTAATACTAGAAACCTACTTTGAAAAATGGATCAAAAGCTTCTGACAAAAAATATAGAAGACCAGATACAATAAAATTATATTGTGAGAAAAAAAAAAAGGAATTTCAAACAGGAAAAAAAGAAGTAAACTAAGGAGAAAAATAAAAAAAAGTACAGTAATATCTACAGATCAAATACTAATAGAAAAAGAAAACAATCTCTCAATATAGAAATTAGCCTTCAAAAAGATAGAAATCTGAATTCATACAAGTTACTAAAAGCCTTAGTTAATGTACTAAGATAGTTATGACAGGCTACAAATCCTAGCTAGAGACTTTTGAGTATTTTCTTTTGAGAAAAAGAAGAGCTTAGAAAGGAAACAAAATTTGTTATAGCAGGTCAAACATAGGTATCTTAAATGACAACCAGATTAGTCACACTTTAAAGATTAAATTAGCATTATATAGCTTAGAAAATAGTAAAGAATATATATATTTATACTTTAATTTTTCTTAATAAATCAAAAGTTGTGACATAACTGCTGAAAAAAAAAAAAAAATATTTAAAAAATAATTTTTTTTGAAAAATTGCTTTTGATTTCATTTTTGATAATTATAAACCTACTAATAGTAAAAATACTTTTTTATTAGTTGTAACAAGTACGGTAAACGTTACTTAAAAGCAAAATTTCGTGTAACAGTTTAGGGTAACAGATATTACGTAATATTTTTTTACTATAATAAGGCTATCTACGTCAGATAATTTTATAACCAATCAAATACCCTTATCTAGATTACGCCGATCCACTGATATGTAACACAAACAAAATTTTGTCCGGTAATCTTGAACGAGAACCAACTAATTTAATTTGCATGGCCTATATATTTTAGTTTGTCAAACAGGTTTTTAATATCAGATATAATCGAATTGCTACTACACCAAGTTTTATGTAACGGTAACCCTTTGCAAGCAAATCTTCTCTAAATATATCTCACTGGAGAATTGCACAACATATCGATATTTATATACCATAGTACCAGGTTCTTTGTATATACTGTACGTACACCTTGTATTCAAACCCGATTCTTTATTACAGTATTAACGTTAACCTGAGCGGATACGCATTTGGTAACCCGAACTCTCTTAGCTTCGCATTAAAATCCATTATTTTGTGTATATTTATAACTTTTTTTGAGATACCTGTGAGACCTGAGGCTTTCAATTGAGGAGCCTCTAATCTTAGTGGCACAATTCATGACTTAGAAGCCTCTTTTAAATAAATTATCACAATCGGTTTTTTTAATACACCCAATAGATATATATGATTTAGTCATGTGTCAATAGTTTACAATTAATATTTGTGCATGTACTCAAAGTCAATATCCGACGAATTCCGACAAAGTGTCACATTCAAGGAGACAACATACCTTCTTTTCCAACACCGATTTTTTACTTTGCACATACTTTCGTGATTCTTTCGTTTCGAATACTTTTTCTCGTAACGTCCCACATAGTTTGTGTCTATCCCAAATGTTCTTTCCTTAATCTCTGAACCTGGTTGTGACACTCCCTTATATTCATTTATATATTGGAATCTAAAAAAAAAAGAAATTTATAACGACCTAATTTCGGAAAAGATTATTCTTTTGACACAACCATGTCGAGCGAAACGAATACTCCTGCAGGGTCCTCGTCCTTAATTAACGAAACGTTGTCCGTTACTACTTCAAATGATATCTCAGCTCTAGTGCAAGAAGATTCCTCAGAAAAGCAAGCTCGCAAGAAACAAAATCGACAAAACTGGAAAAGCCCATCTAAGGGCGACGGTAAAGACGTAAAAGCAAACAAGCCTATTGTCATTTCCGATGACAATAGTAACGACAACGTCGACGAAAAAAAGAAGAAAGAAAAAAAGGGGAATAAGAATCGTACCCCTTCAACAGATGGGTCTGATCAATCCAAAAATAAAGAGGCTGAAGTATTAGATATGAACGTTGCCCAACATCAACGTCGAAAGTCAACTGCTAACACTTCCGACATATCAAATAAAAGTAAAAATTCTAATAACAATAGTACTGATAAATCTGTTCATCGCCGCGGTAAATCAATGGCAAACGTCGGGGAACTCCAAGGCGTCTCTTCAAAAAACGGAAATGGTAAATCTAAAGGTAGTAAGGATGATTCTGAAAATAAATCAGAAGCTTTAGAATCTTTGCAGCAAATTATTGCTAGTCTCAAGAGTATACCACCTAAACCTCAGAAATCAGATAAAAAAGATGGTGATGATACCGCAGACTTTGTTTTTAAACATAAACGGCATGAATCGAGTGCATCTAGCACTGGAAAGCGTACTAATGCGCCTGCTAAACAACATAAAAAGGGTACTTCTGTGTCATTCTCATTCCCCCTGACAACGGCAGTTACTACTTCATTAAAGCCTATTCCTGATTCGGAAGATGGCAAACCTATTGACATTGAAAATGCTTTGCAAGACACTATCTCCTCTTTGAGGCGCATGAGTCTTGATAAAGGTAAAGTACAAAAAGAAAAAGAAACTGATAAGAGAAAAGATGATGGCGAAGATGATGAGACTGAAGAAGAAAAGAGGACTCGACGTAAAAAGAACCCCTTTAACAGAAAATCACCTAATCTTGACGATATGACACAGTCTAGTATCGATAAAAGGCAAGAATTGGATTCTCCTAAGTCTCCATTTGACTTTAAGAAAACTATGGACGACCAACAACAGCCAACTGCGAAGAAGACCCATCGCCGTCACCAGTCTCTTGGTTATACCTTATCTACTTCCTCATCTTCAACATCTATTGTGAAGCCTAATCTTCCTATTCATGGTCGACGCCACAGTGTAGCCCTTAATGGTAGCAAAGATGTGCTTAAAGAACTTGAAAAGAGCCAAGGCAGGCTTGTTGGGTCAGAAGTAAAGGGCCATCGCCGTAGCAATTCAAGAAACTTTGATGGCAACTGGCGATCAAGTAAGTAATAAATATATGCTAATAGTTTAATAATGACAACAATCCTCGAAATTAAAATTTTATACAGACCAAATTTAAGAAATTGGTTCTTTGTAAAAATAATGAATGCAATGCACTTTATCATTCCAATAACACTCAGCTGCCTCGCCCCTTTCTGCCTTAGCTCAACCATTCCAGCCATTTCCACTACCTAAATTTGGCGCAATTCAGAAGAAACAGCAACAGAATCAACAAAATTCTAACAATCAACAGCAAAGGAAGTCTCTCTTCGCGCCTTATCTTCCGCAAGCCTCTCTTCCGCCACTTCTTAAAAATTGTCAACTCGTTTCTGGTGTTTTACGAATCAATAAACGTAATCGATCTGATGCCTATGTAGCCACCGAGTCTCTCGATGCTGACATCTACATATGTGGTTCCAAGGACAGAAATCGTGCATTAGAAGGTGATGTAGTCGCAGTAGAGTTGTTAGATCCTGAGAAAGTTTGGCAAACTAAAAAAGAGAAGGAAGAAAAGAAGAGAAAAAAAGAAGAAAGTGCTGGAATAGACAAAAAAAAGGTCGACAAAAAGAAAGACGACGTTGAAGTCGAAGGGCAAGGTCTTCATCTTTTTGATGATGATGACATTGCTACAGATGAACAGAGGCCAAAATATTGTGGCCATGTTGTTGCAGTTATGGAACGAATGCCAGGGCAACTTTTTTCTGGGTACATTTGATACAATTTAGACCTTGTATATTGCATTCTACACTATATATTAATATGTTTTTTTTTATAACTCATGCAGAACACTTGCTCTTTTGAGACCATCGTCCACTGCAACTAAAGAAAGGGAAGCAGCTGAAAAAGCTCGAAGAGAGGCCGAAGATAGAGCTGCTGGAATTGAACCTAAAGTGGAAGAGTCCAGAGAAGAGAAGAAAGATGATAAAAATGAGCGTCCAAAGATTGTCTGGTTTAAGCCGGTATATGCAATAATAAATTTATTGTTATTTATTGATTTATTATTATTATTTTAATTCATTATTTATTTATCAATTAATTTGTTATCAGACAGACAAACGTGTACCTTTAATTGCCATTCCAACAGAGCAAGCACCACCTGATTTCGTCGAAAATCATCAATCTTATGCCCAGCAATTGTTTGTTGTAAGTTTAAATTACATTTAACCGTATAAACCAGCATACATAGTTTATATGCTATTTATTTTGCTATTATATTATTTTTAAACAAATATTACATACATTTTACATTTACAAATAGGCTTGTATTAAGCGCTGGCCTATAACCTCCCTTCATCCTTTTGGTACTTTAGTGACACAGATAGGAGAGATTGGTAGTATTGAAGTAGAAACAGAAGCTCTTCTTAAGGATAATAATGTTTCTTCTGAAGAATTCAATGAAAATGTGACAAAATGCCTTCCATCGACACCCTGGGCAATTCCCGAAAAGGAACTTGAAGCACGTAAAGATTTAAGATCAACTACCAGAATTTTCTCGATTGATCCTCCTACCGCAAAGGATCTGGATGATGCTGTTTCTTGTAGTCGTTTGCCAGACGGAAATTACGAAATAGGTGTTCATATTGCGGATGTAAGTTATTTCGTTAAGCAAAACAGTGCGCTTGACCGAGAAGCTCGTAAAAGAGCAACAACTGTGTATTTGGTCCAAAAGTCTGTTCCTATGCTTCCACCATTAATTTCTGAAGAATTATGCAGCTTAAACCCTGGTGTAGATAGGTAATATACAAGAAATAAATAATTAAACTCGTATACAAATAAATATCACCATGATGTAACTCAATATATAATTTAGACTCTCCTTCTCTGTAATTTGGAAAATGACACCAGAAGGTAAAACTATGGAGACATGGTACGGCCGCACTGTAATTCGACCATGCGCTAGATTATCATATGAAGATGCGCAGGAAGTGATCGATGGAAAACCTTTAAACCCTGAAGTCAAAATTTTTAATGATTACGTTGCTAAAGAAGTTGAGGCTGATATTAAAGTCTTCTACGTAAGTTACATCAATTTATTAAATAAATAAGAACGATGAGTTACATTTCCCTTAATATTATTTCTAGGGTCTCTCTCAACGTTTGCGAGAACAACGACTCAAGCGTGGAGCGTTGTCTATGGGCAATATCAAATTAAATTTTGAGCTGGATGAACACAATAATCCTATCGAATGCAAAGTATGCGAACATAAAGAAGCCAATCAACTTAATGAAGAATTCATGTTACTTGCAAACATGAGTGTTGCACAAAAAATATCTAGTGCTTTTCCCGAACAGGCATTGCTTAGAAGACATGCTACTCCTATTGAACGTAGACTTGTATGTATTTATTATCGTTGAGCTTTCGCATTACTTTTTTTATATTGCTTTTTTAATAAATAATTTAATATATATTAGAATGATTTTGTTGAGCATGCTAAAAGATTAGGATATGATATTGATGCTTCTTCGGCTGGAGCATTACAAAGATCTTTCAATGCTATCGAAGACGATGATGCTAGAGCGGTATGAATGCTTAAGAGAAATATATTTTTTGAAATAAATAAACATCACTATTAAAATACATATGTTATACGTTTTAGGTTTTGAAACTTCTTGCTATAAAACCAATGCAAAGAGCTAAATATTTCTGTACTGGAACTTTAGACATTGCAAAATATCATCATTATGCTTTGAATGTACCACTTTATACACATTTTACTTCACCTATTCGTCGTTACGCTGACGTTCTTGTTCATCGTATGCTTGAAGCTGCATTATCTGGTGGTATGAGTAATCTCTTTAAATAACATGCTAAGTTTCTTTACTATACAGAAAATTATTAAATTATTTATATTTTATTAGAGAAACGCTTCTATCTTGACAAGGATGCTGTCCAAAAAACAGCCAATCATTGCAATGTTAAAAAAGAAGCAGCGAAAAACGCACAAGAACAAAGTAGCCATCAATTCCTCTGTGTCCTCCTTCATAATCTGACTGTACAATCTGGTCCTGTAATTCGCGAGGCCGTTGTCATTGGTGTCAAAGACCATGCATTTGATGTTTTAGTGCCCGTATTTGGAATTGAAAAACGTGTTCATTTAGATCAACTTCCGCTAGAAAGATTTTATTTAAACGAAGAAACAGATGAATTGACCTTGCATTGGAAACAGGGAGTTAGTTCTCTCGAACCGATTCCCGAAGATGATGGGTTCGGCGAAGATGAAGAAGATGGTTTGGATGTTGACGAAGATGCTTTACTTGCAGATGTCAATGACGATTATCACTATGAATTGATGGATGTCACAAGTCTCCCAATTGAAGATGAGCATCGACTATTTGATGCTAATTCAGATATCGGTGATGATGATATTGAAGATGACGAGTTTCAAGTATCTGGTGAAGAGGATGATAGCAATGATGATACGTCAATTGTTGCTGCGCCTTTATCATCTAGTGAATCTCCTAAGACGGACATTCCCTCAACAGAAACGCCATTTCTTAGTCAAGCAGCTTCTACAAAAAGCACTCTACCTGCTATAAAAATCTCAGAATTACCACAGCTGCCTATAATTTCTGATCCCACTATTCCTAACTCTCAAATTATCAAAGAGCTTTGTCATCTTCAAGTAGTTATTACTGCGGATTGTAAAAAAAGTCCACCTGTTATTAAAGTTTTGGCTATTAACCCTTATGCATAGAACTTGATGATCTAGTTATAATATAAGAGTAAATCGAAAAATTTATTTGAACAAAGATTAAATTTATCAACCAAACGTTTATAGTATTTTTGGCTGGTCTAAATAGAACATTTTTCTATATTTTTCAATTGAAATTTAAATGTTTATAGAAAATTTGGGTTTGACCCATTTATTATAATTTGGGGTTTATTGATTCATTTTAATTTTATTTTTTTTTATTTTTTTGCTTATATTTTTGTTTATCTGATTTTACTTGGTCTTTATTTCTTTTATGAATAAATTATGTTTAAATATTATTTTCACGACACTTGCTATCCGATCATAATATAAATTTTCGGTGATTACCTCTTTATAATCATACCATATAAGTTAGGCATGAGAATTTTATGGTGATTATCGAAAGGTTAGCTGTAGCCGAGAGTTTTTCTAAGAATTGTAGAGACTGCATCAATTGAAATATACGTCTGTTTAATATAGTTTATCGCTGTTTCAAGATCTATATCTTCACTCAAATAATATCTAGTATGGTTTATACTTAACAGTTATATGAAATATTTCAATTTTTTAAATAGCTGTAACTTTTTATCTAAGAAGTTTTAAAAAAATCTGACTGATAACTTTATAAAGCTATATCAGCTCTATATATATGCCAAAATATCTTTTTATATATGAAATTTTAATTTTCAAATTGCTAAAATTTTTTATAATAATAAGATTTTAAAAAAATATTTGGCAAGTTTAGTGATTTAGTATAGTGGTTAGGTTGTTAAATTGTTATGTAATAGGTTTGGAGTTCAAATTTCACTGTTGATAAATTTGAATAATTTTTCAAATATTGTGATATATTATGGTAAACTTTGTTTATTTTTGAAGATATATCTTTATAAATTAAGTTATATCAAATTGATTTGAACTTGAAAGTGTGATATAATATTATATAAATAAATCTTAATAGGATAGATAAGCAGAAAATCTATATAGTAGAAATCTCAAGTTAGTGAAATAGTATAGTCTTTTGATAGAATTATATTAGTTAAAGTCTGATTTGAAAAGAAAACTTGATCTAATAAAGATAAAAAGTTTTAGAATCTTTGAGTAAAAGGTAATCAGAACTAGTTGAATACCAAAAAAGAATTAGATTAACTGACTAGTAGAAGATTATAGCAGAACCTGAGATTGTATGAATATCTACATAGATTTAAACTAGATGAATCTGTAAAATAAGTACAAATTATTCTAATAGATTTGTTTCAAGATTAACTAGCTTTGTAATATCAACAATATATTAGATATAATATATTCTAAAAAAATCTAAGCTTGTTCTGAATAAATAGATCTATAACAAGCTAGTTGGTTTAAGCAGTTAGTTTTTTTTTTTTTAATTCAACAGTCATGCTATAACTTTATTTAGATTTGTTTTCTATTTGAAAATAACATTATTTAGCTATATACTATCTAATGTCTAATTTTTTAAGCTATAACTTACCCGGTTATCCTATGGATACCTATATGCAATCTGCTATAGTAACCTTAGTCCTATGTTAAAGCAATTTATAAAATATAAGCTGCTTTCAGCATAGGAAGGACGCTACAGCCCAACATGACTAAGTTTAAATCTAACTAGCTATTATTCCCTCCTTTACTTCCTTAACTATGCTATCTAATGCCATTTTAAGACTATAATTACAATTTTCTATGTTCCCATCTACTCTGTTATTTGTTTTTTTCCTAACTGATACTTTTTTCTGGTTCTTCTTTTCTTTCTCTTTTTGTGAGTATTTTTCTTTTTTAGAGATTTTTCCTTTTTTCTCCCATGCCTCCATATCTTTGCATCGATTTTTTTATATCTTTTTATATACGAGTTCTATTCAAATATACTAGAAAAGGCTCTAAAATTTGATCATCATTCTTTCAGAGCTGGTGATATTTTTGATTTTTTTTGCATCTTCTTTACTATAGATACCTTTCATCTATTTTTTTTTTTCTGATGCCTTTCTTCTTGTTCAAAATAGATAGCTTGTTGTATACTTGTTAGATCCTAGTTCTCTTCCTTTCTTTTGTTTTCGTTGAGCTGTTTCTATATTTCTTCTTTAATTCTTTTGTATGCTAGATGTGTTTTTTCATATGAGATAATGTGTTCGATCATTTCTTTTTCCTTAGCGCATCTTTTGCATAAACTATTTTGGTATAATTGTGGTTTTCTACAGTTTAAGGCTTCAACTATTAGAAGGA